TTTCCCTATATAAACTATAGTAAACTTTACCCCCTCCCCAAGGGAGAACGGATAGCTCGGGGGTCCTGAAATTTACAATTTAAGTAAAGCCCCTGATGATCTTTCTTTCCATGCAGAGAAAATGAGTGTAGTACCTCTGAGTCTGGAGAAGAAGATTTTTGAAATATTGGTTAATTTTCCCTTTGGGGCCCCACCCTGTCCCCAGGGGTTGGGGTAGGAATCCCAATTTTACAATTTTGTAGCCTCATCTACCAAGGATGATTCTGACCAAGTTTGAAAAAAATCCATCCACTGGTTCTTGAGAAGAAGTTGAAAATGTAAAAAGTTTATGCACGACGCAAGACGGACAACGACGGACGGAAAGCGATTAGAATAGGTCACTTGAGCAAAGCTCAGGTGACCTAACAAGACCACATTGGTTACAATGACCATGGGAAATAAACAATGCCTACACAAAAAAGTGTGTCGGCTGCTCTTGTATAAAGACTAAATATAGAGTTAACAGAATACTTGAACCTTTAATACTGTATACAAAGATTTTTTTCGCCCAGTCAGACTTTCGTCCTTTGCCCATGAAACCAATTTTCGCTCAGTGTTAATTTTGCCCTTCACATTTAACTACTATGTATATCATGTAGTTGAATTAAATTTGCTGTAATGATAAATTTGCCCTTATAACGGAGGGTTAAAAAAGGTGAAAATTAAATTGCAGTGAAAATTTGTATAAATGAAATTATGATGATTCATGTTTATAATTTATGCTAGCATAAAGTGTAATGCAAACACAATCCATACTGAATGTGATTTAGATAGAATGATAGCTCTTCCCACACTAGACACATGTAAATGTGACTTATACAGCTGGACACCTGTATGTTACAGTACATTGTACATATAAATAGGAGTGCTTACTTTTGACACAAAGATTGTGTTGACCTTGGGGTTGTGTTGGAAGTTCTGTAGGATCTGCATGCGCTCCCCCTGTGATGTAGGTCCATACAGGTAGGGTCTGGCAGGGACAAATCACACACATTTTAATACTATTTTAAATAAAAATTAAACAGCATTCTTTTTAATATATTTTTGCATAAAAAATTAAACAATCTCTAATTGTGATTGTAAAAAAGATTGTAAAAAAGACATCTATTTCAATGAAAAAACAAGACGCCATCATTGATATTGATATCCCCACTCTTAGTGTACAAGTCAATATAAAAGCAACTTATTATTTGTCACAAAGTCACTGAAGCATGAAATGTAGGTCAAATTCAGCATCCCAAACATGCAATCAGTAGAGCCACCCTAGATGCATCAATCATGAAAGTATTGAAGTGGTAGCAATTGTAGTAAGGTATTCATGGATGATACCTTTTCTTTTTAACCGGACGGACAGACTCCATTTGTATATAATACCCCGCCAACTTCATTGATTTGGGGATAAAAAAATAAAAAAAAACTTTTTTTGAAACATTTTTACAGTTAAGACAAGGAATATTGGTGGGTATTTTCTTTCGTGGCTTGAAGCAATTTAGATTGTTTGGTGGTACAAACTTTCATGGATACCCCATATAAACAATGAGTAGTCAAATATATCAATTAAATTGTCATACAGAAACAAAAGAGAACATATCAAAATAATTTAAGGTCACTCTCACTTAGGATACATCAAATTCTTCAATTAAATGAAAGTGTGCTCCAGATTTAGGACAGTCAGTAAATTTAATGATGCCCAAGATATTTTATGTTACATAAATATATAGTTCTACGTACAGTAGAACACACCATAAACATACTTATACTTTCAACAATTTACTTAAAATAAGCTAATTTCATAGGTTCATTATAAGTGTGTTATCCTGTACCTTGATTAACATTTAAATTAAGACACATGTATTTATGTATACATGAATTAATACCAACTTACTGTTAACCATTTAACTGCATTGATAAAAGATTTGCTGTTTTCAAAGTACTTACCTGTAGAGTGTGGATTTATTAAGTTGAAAAGTTCAAGAACACATTAAATTCACCTAGCCAGGAAATGGTCAACAAAATAAAATTAACCCTGTAATCAAATAAAACGTTCTATCGTAACACTGAACTTATAATTGTGTTTGTGATTATACTGACAAGTGTCTCTGTCAATCTTACTTGTTCAGTCGGATGGCATAGTTTTTCAGGGCAAATACATTGTCCGAGAACACGATGATTTTGTCGTTACGACGCTCATGGTAGCGTATCAGGAACTGACAGGACCGGAACTTGTTTGGATTCATGATAGCAAGCAGCTGCAATTCAACGAGAAGTCCTTTGATTAATGTGTTACATTAACAGCATTAAAACATGATTTCTTTTTCAGAAATATTGGTGTATTGCAACTATTGTATAAGTTGTCAATAATCTATTATTTGGTTATCTATTATTATCCAGCTTATACTGGAACGGAAACTTTGAGTCATCAGCTTTAACAGTTTTAAATATTCCTGTTTGGGTGCCAGAGTGAATTTCACATGACACAATAGTATCGAGATATATGTTATTTGCACAATTGTCATACATCTTTTATGAAATATTTCAAACATTTCAAATCAGGTTAAGAAATCTGGAATCATAAAATTCATTATAAAACTAAAAAGCATAGTTTTTGGATTTGGTCTCTACATTTAACAATATCCTGGGTTCATGAAAGGTGCCTTCTTTTTGAGTTAATCATCAAAAGACTGTTGTCAAAATGATCAGGATCAGAAAATAGTTAGGTGCCAAAGGTAAGGTGCATCAATATTTCAACTAGACTGAACTCACTTTGTGAACTGTACTAAACTATATGACAGTAATCACTATAAATAACATATAAAACAACTGGACAAAAATGGAAATTTGGTGTGTAAAGTAAGATTTGACCCTTTAACACATTCTTAATTTGACATATCCAATAAATAAGATTCAACTTATCCTGAGCTTGTTGCGATTGACTCCTACGCTTATTTTCCTATTCTTCAATCGCCCTGCATACTGGTTGGTATCCAGGCAAGGGATAACGGAACCCACCGAACCTGAACTACAATAACGGCGTTGGCTCTACTCCTGGATCGATTCTTAATTTGATATACAATAATCGATAAGCTCACTTGTAAAACAACAGACAGAGCTTAAGAACAAAACCAAACTAACATCAAGTATTACTTACCATTTTCTTCATTGATTTTGTATTCAGGTATTCTCTATAAAATTCCGGGGTCATAGGGCACCAAACCTATAAAAGACCAGATTCAAGCTTTTCACTGCCTGCCACAAGCCTTGTTTGCTTTTAGAGTAACAAAATGATAACCTCAAAAAACAACCAACAGGCACATGTTTGAAATCTTCATTTTCAAATGAATAGATAACATTAAATTTTGCATTTGAAAAGTGCTTGTTTTCTGAATGAAATTATTTGAAACAACAAGAACAATGACCAGTCAGCAAGGGCGCCACCATGTGCCTGACCTGTCGGCCATCTTTGTTTTTTGATCAGTCCAAAAATTTGATACGCAAAACTAAGCATTAGGTACCTTCATATGAAATTTGAGAAAGATCTCTCTTGCACTTTCTGAGAAAATAGCGGTAAGAAAAATTGTTTCAGGACAGAGGGAATGACGGTTGGACCATGGATCAAGGACAAAGGGTGATTTGAATAGCCGTCCATCATTTGATGGTGGGCTAAAATCATGCACTTTGCACAGATAAGTGCTACATCATCCCTGTGATTTTTGTCGATGTTAACTCCTTTCAAAAGTAGTTCTTCATGTCAAAAAATATCAAATATCCCCATCAGGATTAGTACTGTTTTGAGGATCCCTGTCCAATGCAGGCAAAACACTAGAGATTTCCACTAACGTTTTTCATACAAAGAGTAACCTCCCCTTTGTTCGTTTTGAAAATAATTGTAGCGCCATTTGATCACTCGGAACAATAATGTTGATTATTTTTTTCTTTATTATCTCTATTATTTTTCCTGGAATTGTTTTCTTTTTTAGAAATGATTTTATCAAGCTATAGTTATGTCAGCAAAATATTTGTGTCAAGTGTATAGGTACAGTTTTTGGGCAGTGGTACATAGATCTTTAAAAGAAATGTTGGTAGGGGATGCTACATGTATACCAAGCTAGGTGAGGATGGGTCCTATGAATTAACAGGTAAATGCTGAATACAAATACAGTGCTATTTTTCACAAAGCTCAAAACACTGAAACAGTAAAACAAATTGTCGTTTTAACTCATTCACCCCTGAAATTTCATAATGAACTATTCCAACATTTGAATTGGAAGAGTTCAAATGTGTCTTCAGGGGTTAATGAGTTAACAGTATTTTTTGGCAGACCTTACCTCTGCACATTGCACCCTTGCAATGTAGCCTTTGTTCTGTAGCTCCATCCAATTGGCCTCATACAATTTTGGTCCAATCAGGAAGTTTAGGTCAGCGATTTTGTCATCCTCTCGGACCAGTGTTGCAGTCAATCCAAGCTTACAGTGGGCATTCACAATGGTCAAAACTCGCCGGAACATCTTAGCAGGTATGGTCTGTACCTCTGAAAGACAGACAAAACTTAAGGCTAGAGAAATAAGTAATTTTCAAATGAATATAAATTACTACATATTCAACCTGGTTTTCAAATCTGACATTAAAATTATCCTCAGTAAAGTTTAAAATGTATGAGACAATTTCATTTAATATAATACAAATTTTTCTCTTAATAAAATTTAAATCATATTTAATGGTCAAAAACTGGTATCTTGACAATTTAAAGACATATGAAAATGTAATACACTCAAGACACTGGAAAAACTAAGGTTTAATGATCTTTAAACACCAAATTAAAATAAAGCTAATATTAAATATTATGAAACCTGACAAATGCATCCCTTTTTGGGCTAAACATACAGTTCAGATAAGACAGGACATCAAACATACAAGCCTTATCTGGTTGTTTTCATTAGAAATAGTTTTACAGTATTATGTTAGATTGAACAGGTCGGAATACTCAGGGTTCAGATCAGACAGGTTTCACTATACTCAGTGTCCGTACCATCTAGGACCATGAGTCCCCACTCCTGACTCTGCATCCACTCCATCACCTTCTCAGCCTCCCAGGACCGCTTCTGGCTGTGTGCCAACATAGAGTAGGTACTGATGCAGATGGAGCAGCCTGGTAACCACAGGAAATAAATACAGTCACAAACCATCACCTAGGCAACCACAGGAAATAGATACAGTCACAAACCATCACCTAGGCAACCACAGGAAATAAATACAGTCACAAACCATCACCCAGGCAATCACAGGAAATAAATACAGTCACAAACCATCACCCAGGCAACCACAGCAAATAAATACAGTCACAAACCATCACCTAGGCAACCACAGGAAATAAATACAGTCACAAACCATCACCTAGGCAACCAAAGGAAATACATACAGTCACAAACCATCACCCAGGCAACCCCAGGAAATAAATACAGTCACAAACCATCGCCCAGGCAACCACAGGAAATAAATACATTCACAAACCATCACCCAGGCAACCACATGAAATAAATACAGTCACAAACCATCACACAGGCAACCACAGCAAATAAATACAGTCATAAACCATCACCTAGGCAACCACAGGAAATACATACAGTCACAAACCATCACCCAGGCAATCACAGGAAATAAATACAGTCACAAACCAGCACCTAGGCAACCACAGGAAATAAATACAGTCTCAAACCATCACCCAGGCAACCACAGGAAAAAAATACAGTCACAAACCATCCCCCAGGCAACCACAGCAAATAAATACAGTCACAACCCATCACCTAGGCAACCACAGGAAATACATACAGTCACAAACCATCACCCAGGTAACCTCAGGAAATAAATACAGTCACAAACCATCGCCCAGGCAACCACAGGAAATAAATACATTCACAAACCATCACCCAGGCAACCACATGAAATAAATACAGTCACAAACCATCACCGAGGCAACCAAAGGAAATACATACAGTCACAAACCAGCACCCAGGTAACCACAGGAAATAAATACAGTCACAACCCATCACCTAGGCAACCACAGGAAATAAATACAGTCACAAACAATCACCCAGGCAACCATAGGAAATAAATACAGTCACAAACCATCCCACCGGCACCCACAGGAAATAAATACAGTCACAAACTATCACCCAGGCAACCACAGGAAATAAATATAGTCACAAACCATCACCCAGGCAACCACAGCAAATAAATACAGTCACAACCCATCACCTAGGCAACCACAGGAAATACATACAGTCACAAACCATCCCCCAGGCAACCACAGGAAATAAATACATTCACAAACCATCACCCAGGCAACCACAGGAAAAAAATACAGTCACAAACCATCGCCCAGGCAACCACAGGAAATAAATACAGACACAAACCATCACCCAGGCAATCACAGGAACCCCCTACAGTCACAAACCATCACCCAGGCAATCACAGGAAATAAATACAGTCACAAACCATCTCCCAGGCAACCACAGGAAATAAATACAGGCACAAACCATCCCCCAGGCAACCACAGGAAATAAATACATTCACAAACCATCACCCAGGCAACCACATGAAATAAATACAGTCACAAACCATCACCCAGGCAACCACAGGAAATAAATACAGTCACAAACAATCACCCAGGCAATCACAGGACAAATGCACAATCACCCTCGAGCTCATAAACACACAGGTATACTGACTAGATAAACAGTTATCAAAAATAGGCATACCTTTTAAGCTTTACCAATGGCTTTAAAGTAAACCAACATATTTTCACATGCAGAGGGTCTTTGGCTTATTTTGGTCTACCGCTTTGCTTGGCTTGAACATCATCATGAAATAGAGTGTATGGTCACATTACTAAAGAGCTTTGAAGTGACTTACCAATTGGTTTGTCTTTGGCATCAGATGTGAATCTGCAAATTATGCTGTCATCTGCTGTTGACCACATTTTAAACTGAAAGGAAATTGAAGGAAATTACATTACTTGGGTAAGCTATTAGTTATACAAGTACCATGAAGCATGTTTACTAAACATTTACTTCCAGTTCTTACTTATCACAAAATCTTTTGTGTCCCCTAAACCCTATAACAAGTTTTCCCCGATACATAACCATTTTCTTAGATATCCTGATGGTTTGCTATAAATGTGTTTCATTTAAGGGATAGTACATTGTTTTGAGTAGCTATACTCATTACTGGTGATTAGAACATGAAATTTGGATTTAACTCTCGACCGATAGGTGCTTGAGTTTAAACCAGATTTCATGTTCTAATCGCCAGTATAGACACGAAAAACAACCTACGATCCCCATTCTAACACACCTTAACAAATATAATATGCTAAAATGTTTAGAAACCTTGCTACAAATACATAGTAAAGTAGCCTGTGACCTGTGCTGGCAGCGCATCATTTTGCATTGGACTGACCAATCAGAAAGAAGCTTTCAACAGTTGGTTATCTGGCTCAGCCCATACTGGCGAGCACTCCATCTGTTTGTTGACTAGGTGGAATATTTGGATTGTTCGTGAACGTCCCGTTACCGAAGTTCATACGACACAGTTGGATTAGTATTGACCAAATTCTTACATTTCAATGTCAGTATGCATGCCAATCTGTGCGTATCGACAAAATTGCTGATTATTTGTTTAGATTTGTGAAGACACATGTATGAGAAATATTTCATTTGATTTTGAATCTAACTAGGTCCCTTCACACAGATGGAACGAACGTTTCAGTAATATATTGGAGGTAAGAACAAGGAATGTTTACTTTTTACATTTTAATTTATTGAACAAATACATTTCATCGGTCCTTTCTGTTTTGTTGCCTGCTAGCCTTATCAGTGGGATTTCACTATAAAAGGCAAGCTTGATGCCATATTGCTTTGGTTAGAAACAGGGCGTGGCTTAAGTGCGATGGGAGGAGTGTAACACGATTGATCATGATTCTATTGCAGATTAGAACATGGTCCATATCCAATCAAAACATGTGTTGTGTGTTAGAATGAACAACAGTACTTTCTCTCTTCATTACCTCAACCTCTAAAATTACCAATCCATAACGAATAAAGCAATTTTAGATACCAAGGGATTATGACAATGACAAATTTTACTTTGGGCACTTCATTATTAAAAGTTAATAAATCTACTATAAAACCACCGGGTAGCATGGTGGTTAGCACATTCAAATTCTAAGATAAACACGATCGGACGCTACAAGGTATGAGGTCTACAGTTGAACCACATGACCTTTCACCAGTTTTCCTCTCATATTATAACACCTACAAATTTCGTCTGGGCCAACAAGAGCAATTAATATAAGTGTACAACTTGTATCATGCTTGTTGTAAAACGTATCCAGTTTACCAAAATTTAATCAAAACTTACATAAATAGTGTACATGTAAAGCTTCGCTATGCCCAGGTGGAAGAGGATAAATTTACCTCCCATAGTCAGAGGTTAAATTTACCTCCCTTATAGTCAGAGTTTAAATTTATCTCCCGTAGTCAGAGGTTAAATTTACCTCCCGTAGTCAGAGGTTAAATTTACCTCCCATAGTCAGAGGTTACACTTACCTCCCAGGTTAAATTTACCTCCCATAGTCAGAGGTTAAACTTACCTCCCATAGTCAGAGGTTAAATTTATCTCTCGTAGTCAGAGGTTACACTTACCTCCCATAGTCAGAGGTTAAATTTACCTCCAATAGTCAGAGGTTAAATTTACCTCCCATAGTCAGAGGTTAAATTTACCTCCAATAGTAAGAGGTTAAATTTACCTCCCATAGTCAGAGGTTAAACTTACCTCCCATAGTCAGAGGTTAAATCTCCCTCCAATAGTAAGAGGTTAAATTTACCTCCCGTAGTCAGAGGTTAAATTTACCTCCAATAGTCAGAGGTTTAATTTACCTCCCATAGTCAGAGGTTAAATTTACCTCCCATAGTCAGAGGTTAAACTTACCTCCCATAGTCAGAGGTTAAACTTACCTCCCATAGTCAGAGGTTAAATTTATCTCCCGTAGTCAGAGGTTACACTTACCTCCCGTAGTCAGAGGTTAAATTTACCTCCCGTAGTCAGAGGTTAAATTTACCTCCAATAGTCAGAGGTTTAATTTACCTCCCATAGTCAGAGGTTAAATTTACCTCCCATAGTCAGAGGTTAAACTTACCTCCCATAGTCAGAGGTTAAACTTACCTCCCATAGTCAGAGGTTAAATTTATCTCCCGTAGTCAGAGGTTACACTTACCTCCCATAGTCAGAGGTTAAATTTACCTCCCGTAGTCAGAGGTTAAATTTACCTCCCGTAGTCAGAGGTTAAATTTACCTCCAATAGTCAGAGGTTTAATTTACCTCCCATAGTCAGAGGTTAAATTTACCTCCCATAGTCAGAGGTTAAACTTACCTCCCATAGTCAGAGGTTAAACTTACCTCCCATAGTCAGAGGTTAAATTTATCTCCCGTAGTCAGAGGTTACACTTACCTCCCATAGTCAGAGGTTAAATTTACCTCTCGTAGTCAGAGGTTAAATTTACCTCCCGTAGTCAGAGGTTAAATTTACCTCCCGTAGGAATAAATACAACTACTTGGTGAATACATTGGCTGACGGGATGCCTTTGACTCACCTGAGAGCGCCACTGTTCCACAGCCACACCTGAAGTGGCCAGACACAGACACCGCTTCCTGATAGTACAGGCCGCGGTCACACCTACCAGAGTCTTACCAGCACCTACAAAGAATAGAACAATACCGTTATAGCTGATAGTACAGGACGCAGTGACACCTACCAGAGTCTTACCAGCACCTACAAAGAATAGAACAATACCGTTATAGCTGATAGTACAGGCCTCAGTGACACCTACCAGAGTCTTACCAGCACCTACAAAGCATAGAACAATACCGTTATAGCTGATAGTACAGGCCGCGGTGACACCTACCAGAGTCTTACCAGCACCTACAAAGAATAGAACAATACCGTTATAGCTGATAGAACAGGCCGCGGTCACACCTACCAGAATCTTACCAGCACCTAAAAAGTATAGAACAATACCGTTATAGCTGACAGTACAGGCCCCGGTCACACCTACCAGAGTCTTACCAGAACCTACAAAGTATAGAACAATACCGTTATATATGACAGTACAGGCCGCGGTTACACCTACCGGAGTCTTACCAGCACCTACAAAGTATAGACCAATACCGTTATAGCTGATAGTACAGGCCGCAGTGACACCTACCAGAGTCTTACCAGCACCTACAAAGGATAGAACAATACCGTGATAGCTGACAGTACAGGCCGCGGTCATACCTACCAGGGTCTTACCAGCACCTACAAAGTATAGACCAATCCCGTTATAGCTGACAGTACAGGCCGCGGTTACACCTACCAGAGTCTTACCAGCACCTACAAAGTATAGATCAATACCGTTATAGCTGACAGTACAGGCCCCGGTCACACCTACCAGAGTCTTACCAGCCCCTACAAAGTATAGCACAATACCGTTATAGCTGATAGTACAGGCCTCAGTGACACCTACCAGAGTCTTACCAGCACCTACAAAGGATAGAACAATACCGTTATAGCTGACAGTACAGGCCGCGGTTACACCTACCAGAGTCTTACCAGCACCTACAAAGAATAGAACAATACCGTTATAGCTGATAGAACAGGCCGCGGTCACACCTACCAGAATCTTACCAGCAACTACAAAGTATAGAACAATACCGTTATATATGACAGTACAGGCCGCGGTTACACCTACCAGAGTCTTACCAGCACCTACAAAGTACAGAACAATACCGTTATAGCTGATAGAACAGGCCGCGGCCACACCTACCGGAGTCGTACCAGCACCTACAAAGTATAGAACAATCCCGTTATAGCTGATAGTACAGGCCGCAGTGACACCTACCAGAGTCTTACCAGCACCTACAAAGTATAGAACAATACCGTTATAGCTGACAAAAATAATACAAGGTAACATTCAATTTATTGTTAGTATTTACACAATTTCCTTTTCTCCCACCCTTTATGGAACAAAGACGGTCAAAGCAGCATGATCTCTACAATGGCAGATTCTGCTGCTGAACAAAATCAGAAGATTAGTGGTACAACTTCATCATCAATATGGTGTTTCCTTCAACAAGGAACTTTAACCTTGTTGGTCGAGTATACCTAGTTGATCAAGTGGGTTCCAGCATATTAACATTCTTCCAGATGTTGTGTTCTTCAAGTTTAAGTTCTTGATCAGGCCTTGATTGCTTCTCCGCTAATCAATTCAATTACACAATATGTCATGGCGTACAATATTTAGTGCAAAGACAATGCTGTATACAAAGGCACAGGTACTTAAAATCTTTACTTTAGGTAGCTCTTTTGAAACTATAACACGCTCCATCTCCACGGACACTAAGACTGAATCTACTTATCAAGTGATAGCCTTTTTATATTGCTGGAGTCTTTTCAGGAGATTTATGAATAGCTCTTACCACAAGGGAGGACAATAACTCCAGAGCGGGCTCGGCCATTTCCAAACATCTTCCTTAGACTTTTCTCTTGATAAGGTCGTAACACTGTGGATGGCTTGAGGTCCATGCTGAAATTATAGAAAAGATAATAAGAAATCTGGGAAAATTCTGACCATATTATACAGCTGGTTGCTTTGTGGTTATGTAAAAATATTACATATTTCTTTGTATGTTTGATGCAGAAACTTGAATCAATTTGTAATATGCTTCTCATTCTTCATTGTATGAATTTTATGCAAATGTGTATATCAGTATTATCACATGTCTCTGATAGCATCTGATCATGTAACAGCCACCTCAGATATTTATCATAATGTTTTTAGCCATTCTGAAGTTAAAGAGTGTAAAAAAAACCCAGGTCTTAATAGATTATATTAGATGACACACATTTTCAACATCCTGACAGGATAATAAACATGCGGAGGCCGGTGATTTGTGATATTGACCATTTTTAGAAACAGCAGGTCAATATTCACTTCATGATGTCAGTTCAATTGCAATGTCACAACGCTCTCTGCCAAATGAAGCACTTTCCTCTGTATAATGTTTATATGTTTTATATTGTTTAATGATTAAAAAATTATTTAACATCTATACAACAACTAAAGACTATATTTTGGTGAATATGCAGTTATATGAACCTGAAAAAGTTATATTAACCTCAACTCTGTCTCAGTCATTATCACTATCTCAGGACCATACAACCACATATTCACCTCGTCAAAAGTCCATAATTGATGAAATATTTTATAAAAGATTGTTAAGCTGTACAATAACTTTTGGTGTCTATATAACACATCTTTACTCTGCTAAATACTGAGAACATGCGTAAACAGAATTCTGAAGTTATGAAGAAAAGCCTTTTGCTGCAGAGTACTCACTTTATATCAGCGTTGTGTGTATCATTCTTGAAGTCATACTCTGCTAGTAGGGGATATTCCAGTTCTATACACCTGTTAAATAGAGGCAGCACACTTCAAACCATCTTCCATATCTAGATAATGGTCATTATAATATGTTTTTTAATCAATAGACAGTATCAAAATTGATTTATGCTGAACAGCCCATCAACACCATATTGTAAATTTAGTGCACATCAAAATATCAAAATTTCTTCTGTATAATCATTCTAGACCTATGTCTCATTCGTCTAAACATACCCAACTGCGCAATCATTCAACATGGCAGCTAAAATGATAAATGAAAACAGATATTTCCAGTATATTTTGAGACATATTATTCTATACCTTTTTTGTATTTCTTCAATGTTTTCCTGTTTGACCTCAAACGACACAGTTTTCGTGTCCTCAAGGTCATCATCTTCGTCCTTGTCCATCTTATCATAGTAATCAAAGATATCATTTGGAACAGTCGGCTGTTCTGTTTCCTCTCCACCCTCCCCCGAGCCTGATGGACCTGGTATGGGATCAGCTGATGATGAACATACAGCTCCATTGGAAGGCTTGTTCAACTGAAAAGACAATTCAAACATGAAACATACATAATTTTCAACTGAAAGATATTTTAATCAAGCAATATGTATACATATAAAGACAGTAAGGATCATCAATAAGGTAAAATTAATATAGTTGATAATTGCTAATATTTCCAAGCCTTGTGGCCATCTTCTGGCCATTTGTTTATCGCAAACACTTTCAAGACTTGCAGCCATCTTCAGGAAATTGATCATTGATACAGAGTTTCCACAGGATTTAATTGTACTATATACATGCATGTATATTTATGTATGGAAGGCATAATCAACTGAAAAGTCATTAAAAGTCATAATGTGTTGGAATGCTTATATCGCTTGAAATGACACTTCGATCGATCATACATTGATGCAATGAAGATCGGAAATATTCTTACACATTGAACAATCAGTATCTACATAACAAGAAATATGAATCAAACCTTGAGTTTCTGGCCCAAGTAACAAATGTTTATGATCTTATTGGCTTTAGCTGAAACATCTTCTTTTGAAGTTTTTATTACGACATGGCGATTTGTAGAAGGACGTCAATGTTATCACCTGTAATGCAGACTTTGTGGATACTTGGCCCTCGACCAGTTCGTCCGTTTGTTCCGCTCTAAAACGACACTCTTGGACGACAGGGTCCTTCAGCAGCTTCTGGATTACTTCCTATCACAGACACAAGATCAGAGATACAGGTCAAAGTGGAATAAGACAAGTTCCTCTACTTGTTTCTCTACATTACATTAAATATCAGTTTTAAGGTAGCATTGATGTATTCACAGATTAACTCTGTACTGCTTCAGCCACTTCATACTTCCTAAGAAACAGGGTCATATTGTTAAAATATATGGAAGATTTCAAAAAGATTCTTCGTTTAGGCGTTATGATTTTTATGAAAAAAAGATTTATCTGGTTTCTTAAAACTCAAATGTAATGAGACATAAAATCAACTTTGAGCTTGATGTGACTTCACAAATAGCACTTATGGGAGGAATATATATATATTACTTCAATGATTTCCAAAGCATATATATTGGGTGTCAATTATAGATTTTATCACATTTCAACAATAATAACAAAAACTGACCGGAACGTTTCAGAAGAGAGCATTTTTCGATTAAAACAGTTACTCACCGGATGTTGACTTTCCACATAGTATCGGTTGTGCTTCAAAACCAGCTTTACTTTGCCATAGCTGAGAGTACACAACTGTAACATACAACATACTATTTCTATGAACATTTGCAAGGGGGTAACTTATATACATTATCAACATTAAAAATATATTTTCTTGAAAAGTTCACTTTTTAATAATATCATATTGCACATTATCCTTCATATAACTAAAGTAATTAAGAGTGTATTTGGATCCCAAGTGACGGTTTTATTAGTGGAAATTAAAAAGTAGTTTGGGCTGCTAAAGTAGCAGATAACTTACAACCAGGAGATATTATATTGTCTGACACAGATTTAATGTTGCAGGGGGCATACAAATCTTCTTCAAAATAAAAGTTAACTTCAATGAGTTACCAAACAGGTTCTCATTTCTAAAACCAATATTTAATTTTCAAACATACTTACCTTTATAAATTCCTCTATACCAGTAGGCAAAGTGGTCTTACTGAGACGCCGAAGATACTCAATAATATCCTTAGTCTCCAATCCCACAGATACTGCAGCATACAGAGAGTAGGGAGTAAGCTTGTATTCGTGGATATTAAGAGGCCTGCAAACGGGCTGGAAAGAAAAACCAGTCATATGTTGTTTAGAACAGTTTATTATTAAATATTTTGTAAAAGTCAAGAGAAGTAATGATTGATCAATGAATACTTCTTTTATGAATGAATCATGCCGCATTTATCAGTAGCAGCTGATGAGAAATTAGTTATCTGAAATATGAAACACGTCTTCATTCCACGGGGTGAAGTCAAACTAACAAATATACATTTGTAACAGGAGAGGAAAAATGCACGGCCAGACCGGGGTTCGAACCCGGGACCCTCTGAACTCTGGACAGACGCTCTACCAATTGAGCTACCTGGTCGCCAACGATTGACCCAGTCCAGGTTTGCTACACACTCAACACTGAATAACCATGTCACTATATAATCCTAACCTTCAGATGGCATTCAGATCAGTTATGAATGCCATGACCTGATTGTTGATGTCTACATTATTGTAACATTGGAAACCACTGATGCTCCCTACAGGAAGATGCCTGCTATATCTATTGAATATGCAAACATGATATTCAAATTTATCTAACCTAAATGAGGACATTTTTACAAATGACTTTTCTTTCTGTAAAATAAAAATATTTCAACTGCTTTCAGTTGGCATTTATACTGAATATGAATGCTAACTGAAAACACCTCAAAGTTTAAAAGAATATAGAATCAAATCCATTAGTTTTAAAGAAATATAAATTAACTCACCTCAGATATGGCAATCAAGAAGTCATGGGCATGTTTGTACACAGGTGAGAATGACTCTAAGAAGATATGCCCATTTGGTCCCTGAAAAAAATGTGATGCATATAAAAAGCTTGGCTTTTGAAATATGAATATAAATATGGTTATTTACACATTTTTATTTTTCATGAGCATTTCACTTTCACAACTGCTTCAAATGACTTAATTGTGATGTTAGTTTAAATGATTATACTATTATAATACAGCAAGACATCAATGATAGCACTTTCAAAAGCATTTCAAGTAATTCCTATTTTTTCAATTAAGTTCCAAGTTTCATAAACACTCTTTTGATGCATTCTTGTAACAAAATGTATAAAAATACTGAAAAATTACAAGAATTAAAAATAAATTTGTGCTTTTATTACTCAAGAAGCATACATTTTATATTGAAGGTTCTGATATAGGCCTATAAAGTTTCAACAATATCACTTACAAAATTAATGGAATGTCAAGATTTTTTTTTTTATATAAAATGGAAAGTGTCATACATCAAAACCTTAAGATGCATATTTATAACAAAATGTAAGGAAATATCCAAATAGTACAAGAAAATTACATTTGTGCTCTATCACCAAGGAAAGTCGATTACTTTCGGATGTGTTGAAATGGGAAAATATATTTTATTTCACTGGCCAGGAACAAGGCAAGACTCATTTGATTCTTGATAAATGTTTACAAAATTCATTTCATATCCATACAACTGTAGTTTGAGTGTTTAATTAATATGACACATATGTAGAACTGCTGTTAAGATGAATATCTATATCTAACTTTAGATTTTTATTTTCAAATACTAACCACCCAGAGAGGTCTTGATCCATGGTCCAACTTGAGGTCAAGCATCGGACGATAGTCTTTCGCCCCAAACTCATCCTCTTTTGTTTCTTCTGTAATGTTTTGTGTCGCTGCTTTGGGGATTCCTTAAAACAACAATACATACACCATATATTATTTTTTTCAAAACAAACATACTTTTATAAAAAAAATAAAAAATAATCTACAAACAAAATTTCAGCTTTTGATTTTTGCGATTGGTAGTATTTCGCATCTGACAAATATCAATTTCCTACTTCATTTAAGTGGAGCAGAACCAGGTTTATTAAACTATATGGCCCTGTAAAATTGTACCCGAAACAGTTTTAAGTTTGTGTATACATATATGTATTGAGCAGTGGTAGAAAAATTATTGCATAATCTTTTCAGTTGTCTCCGGGAAATGTGTTCTTTGTAAAAAAAAAATCAAAAAAATCAGACGGTTTTCTTACTTGAATATTCCATTCTATAAGAGATTTCTCAGTCATCATCAAAATTTTACATGATTCATCTCAAATACAAATTAATCCTTATCAATTCCTGATTTAAGATATTCCTGACAGTTTTAACCTTTGTCAGCATCTTTAGTGTCCTCTTCATCTTCCTCAACGTATTCTGTATGCTCAAGCTTTGCTCTTTTATTGGCTCTCCGTTCCTCTGAAAAAAACAAAAAACATTCACTCATAGATGTAGAAATAACTAAGAAATTATTGCATAGAATTTAAAGATGATTTTGTTGATGTGATACACTTATTTTATAAATAAATGCCCTGACCAGTTTTCATACATGTCAACCTCTGGATCCTCATAATAGGGATTTGTCACTCTGAGCAGACTCTGCGAGTTAAATGTGTGCTAAACTATTTGTGACATTTCTATATTACAATGGTGCAGTGAAACTTGATCAATTAAGGTTTATTATTTTATAAGTTCATTCACACCATAAACTGTTGCAATTTCCCAAAGTACTGCCACTAAAGTTCCCTGACCAGTGACACTCTCAGTCATTGACCTAATTCTCATTTCACTTTAGTTTACATATATCAATGGCCAGGGGCTCTAAAGGTACACATATTCGTATACATTTATATATTTGTTACAAGCCCCTGTGCTTAGGAGGGATACATTTGGTATGCATGATAATAATAAGATATAAGGACCAGACTGTGCCCTATGCCTTCAAAAGAACCAAATAGTAAATATTGTAGTTCAGCGAGACCTAAACCGGGACAGGTGACATGTATGGGTCTTCTGCTAACGTTACAGGTCTTGGCGTACAATCTATCTTTACAGAATCACACCTTTATCTCTTTTGTCTTTCTTTCCCATTTTCGAGTTTCAGCATGTAACATTCATGTCTTGATTTCAGACGATATGTAGAATTTCACACATATTGCCTTGTTCATTGCCAAGTGTTCGTCATCATACTGAAAGAGTCAAACACTTCTGCATCCCTCTTACGAGCATCCACTGTCTCTTCAATTTCGCAGTATTGCAATAACTGCCGAAAATAAGTATATTGATTTTACGACATCACTTTATTTCAAAACACTTATTTCTAAATTTTATCTAGGCGTCGGATGCATACACATGATTTTAACGGGCGCGTCTAATTACCCAATACTACCCAATACCACCCAATACTACCCAATACCACCCAATACTACCCAATACTACCCCATACGATCCAGTTATGAACCAAATACTTCTTTATTACTGTGGAATATCACCTTTGTAGACGTTATTTACTTCCATCTGCCATATTTTATCGGGAAATATGCGATTTGGTGCCGAAAACATCACCGAATTGCCGTGACTATGACCCAATACTACCC